AGAGGAGGGAAGCCAGATGCCTTACTCTTTCCTAGCTCACCAGAGGGTTTCCCCGAAAGGGCCTCAGTCCCTCGGGACAGTCCTGCGGCTCTCGTATGGCAGCACCCAGCCCACGAGGACCCCCCGCTCCCCACTGGGGACAGGGAGTGGTATTTACTTGTGCCAGTTGTTGAGCCCTGCCTACGAGGAACTGACCCTCACGTGTGCTGGAGGCCAGAGCGGGAAAGGCCGGTGCCATGGGAGGTGGACAAGGCAGTGGGGAGCCCTGTAGGGGAGGAGTGAGCTCTGGGGGAGCGTCTGCCAGGGGAAGGGCGAGGCTGTGCCAGGCTGGACAGTGTGGGTGGTCAGAACAGTGGAGGTGGCCACGGGAAGGAGGCTGGGGGTGGCCAGGCCACGAGGACCCTGCAGGCTGAGGTCAGCTTCCCTTCCCCATGCAACCCGAGCCTGTGTCCCCAACCCTCAGGATGCTGTCCCCCACGGCACCCCTGCCTATGGCCTTGAGGGTCCTTGCACATGCTGGCTAAGTGTGCAGATGAGGGCCAGTCTTCCCAGGCCCTGGAAAGGCTGTGGGTGCTCCAGGAGCCCTCCAGAGCGGGCTTCACTTGGGAGCACGTGTGTCTACCTGCGATCAGGCCTCGGATGGTGCCACCACGTGGGGTGTGGAAGGCGAGGTGGAGCTGGCCTCCTGGTACACTCCGCGGGGGGCCTCTTCTGGGGCTGTGCCTCTTCTCTTGGGGATGGCATCTGGCACGTGTGCTGCTCCACCGTGGGGAGGGAGGGTACAGAGGGGGGTTTGAGGAGGTGGGCTGGGCAGGTGCCTGCAAAGTGGTCCAGGGGGAAGGCACCCTCGTCCGGAGGCTGTACGTGCCACTGTGCCGCTCACGGGGCTTCTGAGTGGCTCTGTCAGAGCAGAGAGCTGCAGTCAGGGGTCCTCAGTTTCCTTGTGGGGGCCCAGGGGCTCCTCCCTGGGGCCTGGCGTGTCCTTCAGTCTCCCAGAGGGGCCTGGTCACTGGGCAGTAGAATGTGATGTGCTCACCGCCTGGCGGGTGCCTGGGCGGAGCGCCCACTCCATGGCACGGGTACGTGAGGGGTTTCTGGGAAAGGCCAGAGTCGCTCTCTGTGCCCCCGCAGGCCTTACGTGTTCCCGGCTCAGCTCTGCTGTCGTGGCACGAAAGCCGCCACAGAGGGCACCCGAGCGAGTTGGCCCAGCTCACGGGCATTCACGAGAGCGAGCAGCCCCGTCGTGGGTCGGCCCCTCCTCTCGGTGACTGCCCTGGTAGCTATGCAGGGCGGCCTTCTCCTGACCCTGTGCGAGCGAGCTCGGGCTGCCGAGCGGGACCCCAGGCTGGGCGGTGTAAACAACAGAAGCGTATCCTCGTCTCAACGGTTCTGGGGCCTGGAGGTGCAAGATTGGGGTGTTAGCGGAGCTGCTTCCTTCCGGGGCCTCTGTCCTTGGCTGGTGGTGGGCCATCTCTTTGTGTCTTCACATCCTCTCTCTGTGCGTGTCTGTGTCCTAGCCTCCTCCTCTTATAAAATCACCAGTCTTACTGGGCTAGGGCCCAGCCACAGGACATCATTTTACCTCAGCTGCCATTTCAAAGACCCCATATCCAGACACAGTCAACTTCTGAGGTGCTGGGCGTGAAGACAACATCATGAATTTGTGGGGGATGCAGTTCAACCCGTAGCAACCCCTTGTCGTGGATTAGGAAACTGAATCTGAGAACAAGGTGGGGGTGGGGGTTGCTGTGTTGCTCCCGGTTTTCCAGGGGTGGATCTGGCCTGCCCCGGGGCTGGGCTGGAAGAGTTGAACACAGGTGCCAGGGAGACAGGAGTGCATCCTGGGCAGAAGAACCTGCCAGAAAAAAACCCTGATTTGGGGGGTTTCCCAGGGAAGGAGGTACCACTTGGGCCCTGGAGGGCTGGCGAGGGGTGAAGTTGGGAAGTTTGGCGTGGGTTGCGGGGCCTTTGGGAGGCACCACGAGATGGGGGAAGCATGGGCCTGAGGCAGGGCTGGGCACGGGAGAGCTTGGAAAGCTTCGTTCAGCAGGGAGTTTAAGCTTTGGGCCCTGCGCTAGGCGGGTGGGGGTGGGGGGGACGGGGACACAGCCGTGGACAGCGGGGCCCCAGCCTCACAGAGCTTACATTCTAGTGAGAGTAAAAATACACATGTGACCTAAGGACACAGTGTCAAACGGACTGCAGAGCACCAGATAGGGAGGAATCTCAGCCAGAGGTGGGGAGGGGTGGCCTCTGAGTGTGTGGCACCCACAGAGGAAGGGCCCCCTAAGCCTGAGAACAGCAGGCGCAAAGGCCTGAGCTGGGCAGGGCAGAAGGCGGCCGGGTGCGGGCACAGGGGGTGGGTGGAGGAGGTTGGTGGGTATTCCTAGGGTAGCCTGGAGCCTTTGGGAGATCTAAGCAGCGTGGGGATCAGCTCTTTGTTAAAAAGCCACTTTGCTGGGTGGAGATGGCCTGTGGGGCAGGAAGCCGAGAGGGAGAGTGGCTGTTGTGGGAAGCCGGTTCCCAGGGACCCAGGAGAAATGAGGGCCGCTTGCTCGGGACAGTGACTGCAGAGAGATACGGTGTCTCGAGGTGGTGTGAGGCATGTGGACTGGAGCACCCTGGCCCCATGCCCACTCTTCCTGCTTGGGGTGCCTCTGGGGTATGCCTGGCCCCCCATTGTTCTTAGGTGGACAGCCTGGAGTTTGCAAGCTGCTGGGCTGGCCTCGCCTGACAGCTGTCTCCTCTCCCCACAGTTCTGGGGGCCAGGGAGGCCTTGATTCATCTGTTGGCGCATCCCTCTGGCCAGGGATAGGCTGGCTGTGCATGGTGGCCGTGAGGCGGGGCAGGTCTTCAGGGCCAGTGGAACAAGCCAGACAAGCTGTGGCGGGCTCCCAGAGCACCCTGCTCTCTGCACCCGGGGTGGGGTGGGGTGGGGGGGGGTGGGACGGAGCTGTGCTAAAGTCCAGGACAAGGAGGAGGTGGGAGAGCTAACATCAGGGAGGATGGCGTGGGGAGGAGCATTTGGTGCTGACGGACAGCTTGCAGGAGGTCTGGACTCTGTCATGGATAGGGGAGGAGGTACCCGCGCTAGAGACTCGACCAGTACAGAAAGTGGGGGGGGGTACCCCCCAGGCCTTCACTTTGACAAGTCAGTTGCTGTGGGAGAGAGAAGCCCTAATTCCTGTTGCATGGTGGACTCGGCGCTACCCTTCTGGGGAACAGTCCTGTGACCCGGGTCAGTGGGGCACATCCGGGGGCTTCGGCAAAGGCTTTCCATGGGGGGACCCTTCTAGCTCATAGGGTCCACCCACCATTGGGCCCCACGCCTGCCTGGGAATCAATTTGAGGTCCCAGGGAGAGACAGACCTCTGCTCCAGCCTGCCCCTCCCCCCTCCTCGGTCCGTGCGAGTCCTGCTGGAACTGCCCGGGGCAGGCGGTGTGACGGAGAAGGCAGCACCCACTGTGATGTGGGATGCCAGGGCAGCCTCGGGGTGGGGCGCAGAGCGTGCTGCCCCGTGGGTCTGTGCGTGCATCAGCCACCTCATCTGGCCCCTGCCTCTTCGTTCCCACTTCACACACAGGCAACTGAGGCCAGCCGGGGCTGAGGGACTTGTCCTTGTTGAGGTCTTGGAGCTGAAAGAAGCAGAGGCAGGCTGTGGCCCCAGAGCTCTTAGGGACAGCTCGGGGCCCGTAGAAACATGGCATCAGAGAGGATGCTTCTAAGAGCTAGGCGTGGAGATGGACGGGCGGGTCCTCTCTCTAGCTAGCGGGTGGGGTGGCAGAGGCTGGCTGGGTGAGGAGGGCAGGTGTCCCAGGCTCAGGTGCCGCATGGGGGCGCCGGAGGTGCCGCTCGGGGCTGGGGGCGTTTTCTGGATGTGCAGCTAAATGTCCAGGGTTGTGTGTGGAATGTGGCCCTTGGCTTGTGGGTTCTTGGTGCACATCAGCTTTGAAATTGCAAGAGTAAACATAAGCAGCTGGACTGACAGACTGGAATTATGTTAAGTATCCTCTAGTCTCTAACCTGGGGCTTGGACACAAAGCTGCTTGGACTAAATTGAACACCTCACTCCTGGTGCCCCAATGGGCAAATGAGTGGCGTCAGGCAGGAACCTGGCCTACAAAACTGGCAGACCCTGAAGACTCATCAAGTGTTGCTAGGCAGGCCTGGAGAGGCCCCTGATTCCTCGTGGAGCATTCCGGCACATTGGCAGGACTTGTCAGGAGAAGCCATCTGCCCTCAGGCCACAGCCCCAAGCAGGGTCTCATGGCCAGGTTCCCTCTGATTCTGAACATGCGTATCCCACACACATCCGGTTGAGACTGGCCTTGCTAGGACCTGGGGCATCTCAGAGCCTCTCTCAGCAAGAGCCTAGAGAGGCCCGAACCCTGCCCCTTGGAGCTACCGGCACCGAAGGGCGGAAGCGGGAGCTAAGAACCGAAGTAAAACCTCAGGACAGCAGAGGCCAGAGCCTCACAGCCAGTGCTAGCTCTGTCCCGTAGTGTGAAACTAATCCCCCCCTTTAATCGCAGATACTACTCCCCCCATTTTTTTTTTGTTAGAAGCTTGCAGTGTATTTTTCTGCTCAGCCATGACTTGTTTTTTTTTTTAACTCAGTGTGATAGTAAATGTGTTGCCACTAAAATGAGTCACTTTGAAACATGTCTCCATGTAAACTTGGTAAAGACAGTACGTTTTAGCTGTGTGGGGTGGGGCAGGGAGGGGCTTGTCTGAAGTGGTTTTCTTGTATCGCCCACAAACCTGTGAAGCCTCCGGGATAAGGTGAGAATAAAGCAAGATCCATCCAGGGTTCCCCTGGGATCTGTCCCCCCAGCAGGCGGCATTCCGGCCCTTTCCAAAGAAGGAGAGGGTGTCCCCGAGAGCGCTCGCCGGCCTCCTTAGTCAGCACTCTGTTCTGTCTGTGGTCAGTAACTTGTATTTCTTTTTCTTTTTTTCTTTTTCTCCCCCCCCCCCTTTTTTTTTCTCCTGAACTTTCCAGGTAAAAGTACACCTGTAAGCCAGCTTGGTTCTGCAGACTTTCCCGAGCCCCCCGATCCATTCCAGCCACTTGGGGCTGACAGCAGTGACCCGTTCCAAAATAAAAAGGGGTTTGGGGACCCGTTTAGTGGAAAAGATCCATTTGCTCCCTCCTCTTCAGCTAAACCTTCTAAAGCCTCTTCCTTGGGCTTTGCAGACTTCACCTCTGTAAGTTGAGTTCCCTGTGCGCCACCCCTCCACCCTCCGCTTGCAGCTTCTTTGGGGTTCCTTTTGTCTCTTTGAAATGGCACACCTGGCTTCTGTCTCCTGGTACCTCTACGCTATGCCTTGTGTTATTTATTCTGTACTGCTGCTTTCTGTAAGAAAAACAATTTCTCAATAAAAAAAGAAAAAGAGCTGCAGTTTGGATACTCTGTGGTCAGGCCATGCTTTCTTCCAGCAGGGCGGCCGGATGTGCCCGTTTCTGTCCTTCCTGGTAGATTCTGTTGTTTCTGTGGCCCGGAGGCCGTGGTGTTCATGGATTTTTGGAAGCTGAGATGTCAAACGCTTCCGAAGTATGCACACGAGATCGCAAAAGTCCCATTAGGGTTTCACTGTCCCCAAAAGGGTCTTTGTGCAAGAGTTGTGACGGTCCCACCCCAGGGCATTTTGAGCAGCAAGTAAGGATTGAAGAACCCAGGCAGGGCACGCAGAGGAAGAGCAGTTTGGTCTTTTAGAACTTGCTTCAGTTCCCAGCCACGACGGGAAGAAATCCAGCCTAGAACAACTGCTCTGAAGGCCTTTCCCCTTGCCAAACCCAAACCCAAACCCAAACCCAAACCCTCGCGGAGCCATTTAGCAAAGTGGTGAAGTTGCTTTTCAGAAGCTAATCCTGGGATCTGGAAAGCCTGGCTGTTGTTTCTCGGTGTGCAAAAAAGATTCCGGATTGCCAAGTGCTGTCACGTGGGGGTATTTCCAGCACCTTCCTCGGTACCAAGAACCTTGTTCTCAGAGAGCTTCAGATGTTGTCTTCCCAGAATTGGTTTCACCGTCTGTGGCGCACTGTTCTTACATTCGAATTTGCAGGGTACTTTGTTTCCTGGTTTGGTGCGAGATGCATTGTTTAATAGACGCCCTGACTCCTAGAATATCGGTCTTAAAACCAGCTCTGCCCTGTCGGTGCCCGGTGAGCGCCCAATTTGCTTCAGATCCACCTCGTGCACGGCTGTCCTGCAGCTTCCCTGCCGTCACCCAAGACGCCAGCGCGGTCCCGGCTCTGGGCGACCTGTAAATGTTTTACAACTACAGTTAGCTCGATTTTGTTGATAGCCGGTGCACGCCGTGGATGTATCCAAACGGCGACGGTATTAATAAAAGCCAAAAACAAAACCCGCTTTATCTACCATTTCTTGAATAGTACTGCATTTGTGTTTTGGTGGAAAAAAAAATTTCCAGTGTCGAGAAAAAGAGAGCTATTCATGCAGGAATCAGGTACTCTGTTTTGGGTAGGGAAGAGGGGTAAGTAGATGTGATTGGGAATTTGGAGAAATGACTGTTCTCTTTCTGAAATGCATGATTCTGTTTCTGTGCCCCACCCCGCACCCAGTGGCTGGTTGGGGGAGAATATTAAAAAAAACAACAAAAAACGCTGAGGTGTTACGCTATCGTTTGGCCCAATATTTCTGGTCATTCCAGAAACACCCCCAGTATTGAATCATCCTTGTTTCCCCGTGGGGGATCAAGTTCTGCCCCATTTGTTCTTTGTTTAAAATCACTTTTCCCGCTTCAGATGCCCCAGTTTTTCCAGAGGAAACATCCGACAGCGGGCTTTGGCCCCTCTGAGCGCGTGGAGTACGGGAGAGGCATGACACCTGACTGGCCTGGTTTGTCCCCTTTGGTCATACCATAGTCCCCAAATGGCCAGCCTGTCCCACCTCAGGGCACTTAGGATGCCTTTGCATTTTTGTGACATCCGGGGACCCAGTCCGTTGGCCAGGGGTTTCTGGTTCGCGGGACCTCGGAGGTTTGTGCTAACTCAGGACAGGCGGGAGTTGGGCCCTCCAGGCCGTGTATTTCCGTTTCCCCGAGGTACATGCTGGGAGGTCTCTTACTGCCCAGCGGACTGGCGGCGTGGCTCCTTCAGCGCGGATGGTTCTCAAGTGCCACCAGGACATGCTGTCAGCTGCGTTGGACTTCAGGGAGGCTGATGGCACACGCGTGGGCAGCCCCCCCAGGCGCCCCGGCTCTGCCCCTCTGGAAGCCTCTCACTGACGAGCCCCGAGTTTCCATCAATGGGTTACCTGTGCTTGTAGCCGTTCACAGGAAACGTCTCCGAGATTTGTTTAAAAACAAGACTTTCTGTCTCAGGCAAATGTGTTTATTAGGAAGTAGCCTTTATAGGGTAGCAAAATGGCTCTTTTTTCTGCAAGTCTGCACTAAGAGCAGAGCGACTCAGATGGGATGTGCCGCGCCGGGGGTCGTCGGACCAGTTGGATGTGACCCTGACAGCAGCGGGAGTGAGCCAGCGGGAGGCGGCTGCAGGCGGCCCGTGCGGGGCAGGGCGGGTGCTGTTGGACGCCTCAGCCCCGGTGAGCAGTGGCCCCGGGTGCGCACCCTTCGTGTGTGCAGCCATCTGAACCCCGGATTTCTGCCGAGAGGCTGCTGAAGGAAAACTGCTTGGCGTTCGCCCCGTGCCCGGGAGATGCCTTGGGTGGTGGCATTCTGTGCCCCGCTGTCTCAGCTCCAGGACGGCGCAGGGGTGAAGCAGGAGTCACCTGCCGCTCCTGGAGTGGCGGCTGCACCCACAGGTGCCCCAGGTTCTGGCCGTCACGGTGCATGTGGGTCGGAGGACCAGAGTGACCTAGTCGAGGAGTCTCCACCGGGGCCAGGAGAGGCTCTTCTGCTGGTTGGAGGCCCAGAGGGACCCTCAAGCAACCCTCCTCCTCCGGGTCCTCTCTCTCGGACACCATGGTCCAGCCTGCTTCTCAAGTGCGCACAAACCCCAGGCGGGATCCAGAAGCTGGCCTCAACCCAGTCTGCTCTGAAGGCATCTGGAATGTTCCTGTCAGCACATTTCATTTGAAAATGGGGACCACTTGAGCAGGAGGCTCTGCAGGGACATCCCGAGACTCGGGCTGGGCGGGAATCATGGTGTGGCCCCGTGGCCTCCACTGATACTTGACCCCTCCTGGCCTGGCTTCTAGGCCGTGGCTGGGTCAGCCTGGCCGTTACTTGTCAGCCCCCACCTTCCCCTCCTCTGGGCTGACAGAGGGCGAGATCCCTGTCAGCAGCACTGGGAAGCCGTTTCTGCCACTATTTGTGGTTTTTTCCTTGTTTTTCTCCTGATGAGGTGTTGGAAAATCCCCCAGAGAGTGCGGGGGTGGAGGCTCTCTGTGATGGAAACAGGAGGGGTGGGGACCAGACTCCAGGGAGTCCTACTTGGAGACCCATCAGGCCCTGAACATTTTTCTGGGTAGTTTCTCTAAGAAACTAGGACTCAGCCTTTCTTCCTGGGGATGGCTCTTCTTCATGCTGACCCTGTCCGTACCTGTCGCTACCTGACCCCCCAAGGCCCGGTGGAGGGAGGCCTCCTCTCCTGCCCCACCTCCTTCTCCAGGCCACATGTGGCTCCCTCCACGGCCCCCACCCCCACCACACCTGCACACAAGCCCCTGGCAGCCCCTCCCACCCCGTGCTGTTCTGGCAGCACCAGGCTTGGGTGCTCGGCGCCCCCCACCCAGCGCCTCACTCCGAAGGTGCCCTGTTGCCCCAACTCTGCAGCTGTAGCTGGCTGCCCCCGCCCCCCTCCACCCAGACCCAGACCCAGAGAGAAGGTCCAGCATGTTGAGGGCCCAGGCTCTGCAGCCACCTCCCCCCTGTCCCCAGGCCTCCGCATCCCCACCTGTCAGAGGAGCTCACCCCCCAGGTTGTCGCTCAGACTCAGTACATGTGTGCCGAAGTAGCCGTGAATTTCTGTCGTGCTTCCTTCCCCGGTGCTCCCAGTGGGGTCTGTTCGGGCCTTCACGAAGCCCGTGTCAGATCGGGATTGTCTGTATGTCTGCTCCCAGGGGGCGCCTTTCAGAGGGCCGGCCTGCCTCTTTCTTTGGTGTCCTCCTGTGCTTAGCAGAGAGCCGGCAGAGCTGAGGCCGAGAAGAGAGACTCGAAGGGACCCGAGCCCATGGACAGGCCGCAGCTTTGCTCGGGGGAGGGGGGGGGAGGGGGGGAGGGGCCTGTGACTCAGGCCCGTGGGAGAACCAGAGACCCACACCCGGGGAAGAGCATGTGAGATCTAGCTTTGCTGTGCTCCCTGTAGAGCTAAGGTGCCTTGGATGGTTTGAAATCACCCATCTTGTTTAAAAGTTTCCTCCTTTGTTTAAAAAAGTGGTTTTTTTTATTGGACCTTTCGGAAAAGGACATCAAGAGCTCCTGGACGGATCGGCAGCGTAAATGCCAGGGCTCCTATAAATGCTCAAGTACGAGGTGGCTCCTGGTGGGCCCAGAGCTCCCCGGGCCGTGGCTGGGGTAGCGATGCCACATCGCAAGACCGTGTCGTCTGCGCGCGTTTGAAACGCAGCGCCGTGCGTGTGCCAGAACTCTCCAGTCCCGGCGCCTCCCACCCGCTGGTGTCGTCGGCCTGTCATCGAGGCCCAGGCCTTGTAGGTTTGCTGTTTGAGCCCGTCGGCGCAGCTGAGGGCTGCTGTGGAGCAGAGATCAGTGTCGTGCCCTGAGAGGAGGCGGGGCGGGGGCCCCTCCCTCACACCCCCTCGAAGCCTCAGAGACTCCTAGCTGGGGACGTGCGGGAACCCTCTGTGTCCCCAGATGGGTGCCTGGCAGTTGCCTGCTTTGGCTCCCTGCAGAGGGCTGGGCGGCTAGTTTCTCTGAGGTCCGAGGTGGTAGCCAGGGTCAGACTCAGCCCTGTTTCTTGGTGCATGTGACTGTGGGTCGGGACTGGGGAGCACGTGTTCCCTGCCCGCTCCCGACCAAGACATGGGCTCCTGGCGTTTTCTGGTTTTCACGTGCATACCAGGCAGCGCACCACCCACCCCCACCCAGCGCATCCCAGCATTGCATTTCCCTGCACCCCGACAGCACGTGACGGGTGTCCTCGTGCCCCGGCCCCCCACCCCAAGCAGCAGGTCGCAGCTCCTGGGCCAAGTAACCCAACCTCCATTTTCCTTTGCAGTTTGGCAATGAGGAGCAGCAGATGGCCTGGGCCAAGCGGGAGAGCGAGAAGGCCGAGCAGGAGAGGCTAGCGCGGCTGCGGCGGCAGGAGCAGGAGGACCTGGAGCTGGCCATCGCGCTCAGCAAGGCCGACATGCCCGCCGCCTAGGCGCCCGGCCCGGGGCGGTCCCGCCAGAGAACACTCCAGCCTGTCTGTGCACGCACATGCACACGTACACACACGCACACACACGCACATACACACACGCATGAATGCACGCACACGTACCCACACGCACACACACCCACACGCATGCACACGCACCCACACGTACATGTACCCGCACACACACGCACACGTGCACGCACGCACACGGACACACACACACACGTGTGTGCGTGCTCACAGTGGTCCCCGTTCACCTTGTGACATGTCACAGCCACTGTTATGTCAAGGACTCGCTGGTCACAGGGCCTCAGGCTCTGGGGGCTCGCCCAGCAGGGAGGCCCGGACAGGGGCTGCTGCCGTAGATGCTGCTCTCCGCGGTGACGTCCCTGTCGGGTGACAGCGCCGGTTCTCACTCCGCCTGGAGCACAGGATGAGTCGGGGAAGCGCGGGGACTCCTTGCCTTTCATCTCCCACCCGGGCGCACCCACCCTCACGCCGCCCCGACCTCCCTTCCGAGACAGACATCTGGGCGATGTATGCATTCGTTGTATAAAATTAAGTTTGAATGATTAATATAAAATATTTTAATACAAAACGATCTTTTTTCCCCCTTTCATTTAAATATTATTTTCTTTGCATTAACATTCACACGTGGTGTCAGGCGAACCAGCCCCACAGCGGGCGGAAAACCAGGTGGAACATTCTTGTTTCGATCCTAAGCATTTGAGTGGCTTTTAGGGCCACAGAGTCAATTTGGGAAGTTTCTGGGGGTCACCCGGCACCCCAGGATGCAGAATGTTTCTGAGATAGTTGGTTGTAACCTCATTGTCACTAGAGTAGGTGGCCCTTTGTCAGGGCCCTGCAGTTTGAAGAAAGATTCATGCACTGTTCACTGAGGCCTGGTCTACACAGGGGGCGAGGCCTCCTACGAAACCTGCAGTCGGAACCGGGAGGAGGGAGAGTTTTCTACTAGGATGCAGCTGATTTCCCCTAGAACATTCCAGAAGCTTGGGCATAACTGCAGGGACAACCTCAGGAGTTGCCGAGGACATTGCAGATCTGCCCCCAGCTTTGCTTTTCACTGTCCCCAGGGAGACGGGACATCCTCAGGCCAACTCCTCTCCGATAGAGATGATAAATCTTTCGAATCTGAGCAGCCTGAGCACAGCCCCGGAACAGAAAGGCGGCAGAGAGCCTCCAACCCCCAGGCCGTGCCGGTTTGGAAGGGGATGAGACGGGGACGCCAGGACTAAATAGGCCCAGAGTGTTCCCCGTCAGGATCCGCCTTGATGGGAATCTCAGGGGACAGAGCCCCAGCCCCTTGTGGTGGGGCTGGATTCTGAGACCCTCCTTTGGGAAAGCTCTTCAGTGTTCTGTGCCTCTGGGCCAAGGTCTCTGGCCGCTCCCCGTCTGCTTACCGCCACCCCCTGCATGCTGACTCCATGGGCTTTGTTGCAGCCAGGGAATTGCCCTGAGACGGGCATTTACGGACTCGTTTTTACATTGTAATGAACTTTACGTTTTAGACGCAGTTTCAGATTTGCGGGGAGAAAAATCACAAAGAGAATACAAAAGGGTTCCCACAAACCCTGCACAATTTCCCCTGTGTTTTAACAGCTTACGTTAATATGGTACGTTTGTTAGAATTCATGAGCCAATATGGAGTTATTATTAAAGGTCACCCCTTTATTCAGTGTTTTTACCTTTTTTTGTCTCAGGACCCCACTGTATATATAGTTGTCTCACCTCCTGAGGCTCCTCTGGCCGGAGGCGGTTTCTCAGACTTGCTTGCTTTTTGCTGACCGTGACAGTGTGGAGGGGGCTGGGCAGGTGGCTCCCAGCATGGCCCTGGGTTTGGCTTGTCTGGCGTTTTCCTCCTGCTGGGACGTCGGGGTGACGGGTGGGGGCAGAGCACAGAGGTGACGTGGGTCCCCATCATCAACACCGTCTGTCGCTGCTGATGCTGACCATCCTCCGAGACGGATGGACTTTCGAAGGCAGCTTTTCGGACGCAGGTATTCTGTGACATGGGCCCCTCTCAGGGTGATAACCCGTGCGGATGAGAGGACAGCGTGAATCGAGGCTTTACGCCAGGGGCAGGGAATGTGGAGGGCGCCCCGGACAGTCAGGGCCCTTGGAAATCTCCCTTTTCCAGGTTATGGACAGGAGGTCCCCGAGATCCCGGAGGGCGCGGCGTCTCCTGGTGCCCATGAGAGGACCTCGCTTCTCAGTCATTAGCTGTGACGTGGGCCTGGGACCTCTCGCAAAGCCTGCGGGCGTCCTGAGCTCTGACGGGCCCCTAATCCTCTCTGGAAGAGCGAGCAGCTTCGAAAACGTGTCCGGAGGCGATTCCTTCCTCCCCCTGAGGTGGGACCATCGTGTATCCCCTTGGGGAAGTCACTGTGTCACCGCTCCCCAAGGTGCTCACGGCTCCGCACTTGAGTGTGAGGTGAAAACCTCACCGTTTTTGGTGGTTCAACCTCCATCCTTTTGTTCCAGCCTCAGAGCAACCTTGCAGGCGAGGCGAGCGGGGTGATGGTGCATTTTCCTAATGGGAAAACCGAGGCTCGATGTCTGTACTCATTTGCCCGGAGCTCCAAAGCCCCAGAGGGGCAGTGGCTCAGCATTTTGCTGGCCTTAGGAAAGGTTTGTTTTTTCTTGCCTGCTGCTTTTTTTATGTATGCAGTGCACCGAGAAAAGGTACAGAAGGAGTCTCCTTATGTCTTAGAAATGGAGGGCCGTGCACTGAATTAGGAGTTCTTCTCCAGGGTGGGTGCAGTGGGCTTTAGGGGACCCTCGAACCCCTGAGGATACTATGTTTGTGGATTTTTCTTGTTTTATTTATTTATTTATTTATTTTTGCGGAGGGTGTCTATGACGTTTTCATTCCATTCTCAGCGGTTCCCAGACTACCTCCCCTCCCATATCCACCCCCCCCCACAAAAGGTCATGAGCCAGTTTTAAATCCTGTTTCCTTTTTCCCCAGCCTCATACACATGCTCAGGGAGACCCCCACACAGACAAACACACTCATCTGCTGTGCAAAGAATCAGCCTCAAATCCGCCGATCCATCCGCACTCCCACAGGCTCTCTCTGCCTCTTCCTTGGCAAGGAGCACGCACAGCCTTTCCTGAAAAACACAGTGTCCAGGTTGAAAGCAGTGATTATGAAAATCTCCAAACATAATAGCCACGAGAAGAGAACCATGAAGGCCCCCCACCGCCCCCGACACACATCGCCCACTGTCAGCTATCCGCCAGATTCTGCCGCCTTCCCTTGGCCGATCCCTTTCCGGGCAGGCTGTGAGGCGGTTCTGTCCCCGTGTCCTTTCATCCTTCCACGTTCAACACATCACTCAGAAAGGTGGGCACCTTCTCACACAGCCGCCAGGCTGTGATCACACCTAGAGCTCAGAGTCACACCCTCCTTCCCTTTGGTCATATCCTGCACATGAGCGGCGACATTTGATTTGGTGACATCACTGATGTACTACCCGATGGCTGGAAGCCTTTGTCCCCTTAGGATGTGCCCCCCCCACCCCCCACGGCTCCCACCTGTGGCAGCTACTTCCCCACCTCCTTACGGGCCAGGGACCCAGCTCCCCAGCTCCGGCTGCAGCGGGACCAGAACCCGAGGGTCCAGGATACCTGGTCGGAGCAGCCTTTTGCAAAAGGCTGACTGATGATCTGCAACTTGCTCCAAGTAAACGGAATTGCATCTTCAAAGCCAGTTTCATTTAAAAGGACATCCTAGTCCTGGAACAGTTGTGGAGAGCTATTTTTAAAACAGGAAGCATCCGAGAAACAAAGAACCTGCCTCTTGAAATAATGGAGTAAATATTTCTGCCCCCTTATCAGATCTGGTTCCTTTGAAACATGGGTCTTTTTGTTTTGTTTTGGTTTGGTTTTTTTCTCCCCAAATTTCCCCAGTAAAAGTTACCAGGAGCCGTACAAATTGTATCATGAGCTGTTGTTGGAAAAAACATAAAGGGAAATGTGATCCTTATCACCAGCTTATTCCAAAGAAATTACGTGATGTGGGCTTGCATGGCTCGCGCTGTGTTTATGTTTAGTGGGTTTTTAAATATCTCTTTGATTTGCTTTCTGGCGGCTGCGCTGTGTGCAACTTTGCTTCATGACCTTGAGCAAGTTACCTAAGTGCTCTGGGACTCACTTTCCTCATTTGCTCAAGGAGTTGGGGCTGGACCACCAGTGGAGGACCTTCCTAGCTTTAAAAGTCTGAAGATTATTATTCAAGTTTCCAGAAAGTCACGTATTTTAGGATTTCGAGTAACATAAAAGAGGAAAATAG